GAGAATCAGTGTGGGCCCAGGAAGCTGGTTGTCACTTAGACTCATACTTTTAGACACAGGTCTACCTGGGGGGATGAGTAGGCTACTCTTCAGCATAATCCAAGGGTGATTTTGCTCAGGAACCTCTGGGAAGAAGAGGGAGACCAGGTCTGTGTGAAGACAGGGATTACTAGGATGGAGACCCAGATGGCCAGGGAATTCAGGACCACTCAATTCCCTATGCCTCACCTTAATGGCATAAATTTCTTTGGCCTGATGACTTTCTGCACTCTCAGAGCTCCAGAGACACTTCATGGAAATACATCCAGCTGAGGCATTGCTCACATAAACAGGCATTGGAGAACAATCTCTGGTACGAAGGGTTATCCAACTGGGCAGTCCCCATACTCACTTTATGGAAACTGCTTGAGAGTGACTCCTACACTTCTCACATTGCTAGGTCTGGATACAAAAACACTTGTAGGAATTTAGTCCAGTACAAGTCTTAGTAGCAAGTACTATGGCAGGAAAGGTGGGATGGTCTCAGCTTTGGATTCCAGAGAGAAAATGACTAAATTTTCCCCTGATTCCTATATCAGGTAAACTGCAAAAGTGTATCATGGGGGAAGAAGAAGGTATCTTCATACTCCACATCTGCAGGAGGGAATATTGCCTAACATTTTTTATTTCTGTTATTTTTTCTTTTCTTTTTTGATTGTTTTGTCTTGTTATGTATTTTTTTTCATTGTGTTCACTCACTATTATTTTTTAGGCCTTCATGAGATGTAATTTTCTTCTTTCCTATCTTATTGCTTTTTTCTTTTTTCCTTTTTCAATCACTTGTTTTTCTTACTTACTTATTAGTACATTAACCTTTAATAATTTTTAGTTACTAGATTCTCCTCTGTGTATCTTAACTCCCAACTTTTTAATCTTTATTGGAGGTGGAGTCAATGATTCCAATTCTTCTTTACTACATTTAAATATTTTATTTTTTTGAATTGTTCTTTTTATTGCTGCTGTCTGCTTTATATCTTCTGAGCAGTAGTGGAAATTGAGACCCCAAGGGAAGGATTCACACTAAGAAGTTCCTCACATAAAACCAAAAGTGAATCCATCACAACAAATAAGCAAAATGCAATGTAGAACACAAGAAATATAAAAAATCAAAGTAACATGACTCCTACAAAAGTTCATAAACTCTCAATAAACAAATAAAAAGATGTCAAAATAATTGAAACCCCAAATAAAGATTTCCAGCTTAATAAATGACTAATGACTTCAGAGAGGATTCAAATAAACAGATGAATGAAGTAAAGAGGTCAATTCAAAACTTTGATGAAAAATTCAGCAGAGATTCTGAAAAAAAATGGAAACCTTGGAAATTAAAAGCTTAATAAATCAAATAAGAACCTCTATGAAATAACCAGTAAACCAGATCAAGCAGAAGAAAGAATTTCAGGGATTAAAGACAAAGTTCAGGAGTTATGCCAACTTAGATAGCAATAAACATGGACAGTCATGATCACAACCTTCAAAATATTTTGGATATGATCAAAAGACCAACCTTAAGAATCCCTGGGGTAGAAGAAGGAACTGAGGTACAAACTAAAGACACTGAAAACCTATTCAATGAAATTATAACAGAAAATTTCTGAATTCTGAATAATGACATAGACATACAAGTATAAGAGGTATTTAGAATCTCAAGAACCACTTCACATCACATATTAGTTAAAATGCCAAGAGTACTGAATAAAGTTGGAATACTGAAAGCCACAAGAGAGAAGCACCAAGTTATTTACAGTGGTAAATTGATAAGAATTACATCAGATCTCTCAGCAGAAACACAAGATGGCAGGAAAGCATACAATGATATATTTCAAGTCTCGAGACTAAATTTCTAAAAGAGAGCAGTAGAGGGAATGAATTCAAGTATTGTATATTTGATACATTGTAAGAACCTTTGTAAATGTTACAATGCCCCCTCATCCAGCACAATAATAATAATAATAATAAATAATAAAATAGAATATAGGTGATGCAGGTGGTGGTGAAAATTTTATTTGCTTAATGTCCAGTGCCAAGAATAACTATGAAATATTTTTTGCTGTTGTTGTTTAGAATGGTGGTTGCCTACTGGTTTCACCCAGGCCTTCTGCAGCCCTTAAGTATTTATTTTGACTCAAATGATAAATATTAAAAAAAAAATCAATATTTTAAACCTAAAAAAAAATCAAAGGAGAAATGAAGACCTAACACAAATACAAACTAATACAATATGTAAGCACTAAGCCAGCATTGTAGAAGATACTAGGAATCCTATACACAGATGAGAAAGAAACAGTCATAATCATGAGATATCAGGAAACAGAAATTTCATTAGGAGAATAGATAAAAGAATGAGAATTGGAAAAGAATCAGACATGCTCAATACAGGTGTGGTAGTGCGTGCCTGTAATCTGAACTATGTGGATAGTAGAAGTAGGAGTTTCACAAGATGAGACTGGCCCCAGGAAAAAACACAAGGCCTTATTTGAAAATTACCAAAGTAAAAAAAAAAAAGTGAGAGTAGGGCTCAGGTGGTGCAGTGCATAAGCATGAGACCCCATATTCCATCCCCAGTTACACACACAAAAAAACCCGAAACGAAACAAGAAACAAAGTAACTAACATTATCAAGGATTTTCATTAATAGTTAATTCAGGTGATACATGAAGACATCCATTGGATGAATCAAGTTGTTTCCAGAGCCTACTCACATGCAGTTCAAATATTATACATAATAATATTACTTAATTTCATTGTTCCTAGTTTATGAGTTAATATTATTGGGAAGTTTATAAATCATAACCTAGAAGTAATTCCTACTATCTATGTAGTTTTACCTCAACAAGTAGAGGGAAGTAAAAGCTCTACCTCTCCTGCATTTCTTGATAATGTCTCCCAGCTATTTTCATAAATAGTACTAATCACCACTACTGTAGTAAATATAAAGATATTAAAATATAAATATAAAATATTTGGAAACATATTTGGAAAATATAAAATATAAAGATATTAAAATATAAACTAAAAATATTTGGAAACATATAGAAGTGTCAAAAATTTAAATATAGAACTAATGTATGACCTATCAATGACTACTAAGCTAACACTGCAAGTTATTCAAAGCAATCTTCCACACAGAAGAGTAGAACATGCAACCATAATCTTATGGGAATGAATAAATCTCATTAGATGAATAGATAAACAAGTGAGGATAAGGAAAGACTAAACATTACAAAACAATAAACTAGCGGGAATTTCCACATGCTTTTCAATAGTAACTCTGAAATCAAAAGATACAGACTGTGAATAAGACCTGACTACTTCTTGCCTACAGTAAAAACAATGTAACTGGAAAAGAACAGCACAGACTTAAAGTGAAAGGATGGAAAAACATATTCAAAACAAATAGCGCCTAAACACAAGCAGTAGTAGTTGTACTCATATCTGGCAAATCAAACTTTAAACCAAAATTAGTGAGAAGAGACAAAGAAGGTCCTTTCATAGTGATAAGGGAAAATTCATCTAAAGGATATAACAATTGAAAACATATATGTACAAAATATTGGCACACCCAGTTTCATGAAAACAAATACACAAATACTGAAAAGAAAGCACAGATAAATTCCAACACAATATTAGTGGTTGACTTCAGTACTCACTGTCACCAAGACATAAGTCATCTATTCCAAAAGTAAACAAACTTTAGAATTAAATAACTCCATAGATGAAATAGCCTTAGTAGAAATCTATGAAATATTCTACCCAAAAGCCTCAAAATGTACATTTCTCTCAGCATCCCACAGAACTTTCTCCCAAATAAGTTTTTATTTCAGCACACAAACAAGTCCAAATAGATACAAGAAAATGAAAATAATTTCCTATATTTTTTCAGACCATAATAGAATAAAACTAGAAATTAACAGCAAAAGAAACTATACAAACATTCAAACACATGGAGATAGAGCAGTATACTTTTGAATGAATCATTGAGGAAATAAGGGTGGAAATAAAAATCATCCTAGACTACAATATCATTCTAAATTTTAAAAAATCCAAGGACATGGATAGGGGGATTTTTGTTATATGTTTTCAGCACTTACTATAAAGCTTCAAAAATCAAGACAGAATGGAATTGAGGTAAAAATTGACAAATAGATCAATAGAACACAGTAAGTCTACAAGGCAGTTGCATATGTACACAGTCAGTTATTATTGACAAAGGTGCAGGTTGACTGAATGGATAAAAGAGTCTTTTTGTTATTGCTTACTGAGCAAGGGCTTGCTGCCCTCACATGAAGAGAAGCTTATGTTACAGCACCAGGTTTTTGCAAAAGTAAAAGCCATTATTGCCAGCCAACTAATGAGGAGGCCCAGAGCTGAAACAGAACACAAAAAAGAAACAAAAGAAGGAAATAATGAAAAAAAGAAGGAAATAATGAAAACAGTACCTGGAAGAGACATTTGTAGCCCCACATTCATTGCAGAATTATTCAGAATATCCAAGATAAGAAAACATCCAAGAATGGATAAGAAAATGTGTCATTTTTATGGTCTGTTCGATGAACAGGAAAGACTCTTTAAGTCTTTCCAATATGTCCCTTTCTTCTATATATGCTAAACCCAAATTTAGCATATTAATTTATTTTAGAAAGATTTAAATAGTTTTGTAATACTTTCAAATACTTTTCTATTAATCTTTTCCTAATGATTTAAACACATACAAAGATAGTTATGTATGTTGACATCCCATTAAAATGAGTTGAAATATGAAAATTTTAATGACTAATATGGTATTAATCAAGAAGTCTATCTCTGAATAATATTTCAAAGTTAACTAATAAAAGAAACAAAAGATGTAGGGCTTAAGTATTTATGTTTGGTGATCTGTTGACCAAAACTAAATCTCAAGTTGACAGAGAAATCATCCTACAATTTGGAGCAAACTCTATGAACAAAAATTGCAGAACATGTCACATCTTTCTCTTCCACCCAATTAGTCTCCTCATTGCCCTTCTTATATCTTTGTTTCTGAGGGTGTAGATTAGCGGGTTGAGACTAGGTGTGACAACAGTATAAAACAGGGCAATGAACTTGTTTTGGTCTTGAGAATTTTCTGTTGGAGGTTGGAGGTATATGCACATTACTGGAATGAAAAAGAGGCAAACCACCATAAGGTGGGCTCCACATGTCTTAAAGACTTTCTGAAGTCCACTGATTGATTGCATCTTCAGTACAGCCTGAGCAATGGCACCATAAGAGCTCAGAATGAGAATAAGTGGTATGACAACAAAAATGGAGCTCATGACCATGAGGGTTAACTCATTAGCATGGATATCAACACAGGACAATCGTAACAATGCTGGCACTTCACAGAAGAAGTGATTCACTTGATTGTGTCCACACAGAGGTATCAAGAGGGTAAAGGAGGAATGAAGTGCTGATGCAATAAAGCCACTTACCCAAGAGACAAAAGCTAACAATTTGCAGAAACGAGGGTGCATGAGAACAGCATAATGTAAAGGTCTGCACACAGCAGCATAGCGGTCATAGGACATCACCACCAGTAAGACACACTCTGTGGACCCCAGTGCAAGGACAAAGTAGAGTTGAATCATGCAGCCAGCATAAGAAATGGTCTTGTCTGGGCCCCTGAGGTTGACCAGCAACTGGGGAATAGAGCTGGTGGTGTAGCAGAGATCCAGAAGAGAGAGGTTTGAAAGGAAGAAGTACATGGGAGTGTGGAGGTGGGAGTCCAGGTATGACAGGATGATGATGAATAGATTCCCTGAAAGTGTCATCAAATAGAATATCAAGATAATCATGAAGAGAACTACTTCCAGATGTGGCCAATAAGAAAATCCCAATAAAATAAAGTAGCCTTCAGAACTTACATTTTTTCCCATCATCATTCATTTTTTCCTATATATGAAGAAAAAATCACATAAACTTCAAAAGCACTCCAAAATTGTCAAACGTTTTCAAATAAATTAGAGAAAAACATATGCCACTTTGATAGGTAGTTCTTTGTGTCACATGGCAGTAGAATTATTCTCATTTGCTTTTCATATTTCATTCAGTTATTTGTCCTCTTGTAGATTCAATAAATTACTTCTCAAGTGACTGAGTTGTTTGTTTTTTAGTACTTGGGATTGAATTTAGAGCCTTATGCTGGCTCTGAAGTTGCTCTTCTTTTGAGTTACACCTCAGTCCTTTTGCTTTTAGTTTGTTTTCTGATAAGGTCTTATGCTACCTTTGTCTAGGCTGACCAGCAACCATGATTCCCCTACCACTGCCTCTCAAGAGGTTGGGACAACAGGCATGCTGTGCCACAGTCAGCTTACTTTTGAAATAGAGTCTTTCAAACTTTATGTTAAATAATAACTAAGATATTATTTGAATTCTAAGCCAGAATTTATAATTCATAAGTTTCAGGTTTTCTGTGATCTATAGTGGAGTTTCTAAGTAGATATTAGCTAGTATTAATGTAATTAAATATATGTAAACATTGTACATAGTCATGACAAATTCACCTTGTAGTTATTCTTTTGTAAAACATAAATTCAAATGATTTTTAGTTGTTTATTTTCTTTTGTGCATTATCAATTTTTATCAGAAAGATGAACACTTTCTCATTAGCTTTCTTGATTTGACATTGTGACCTCCAGCATTCAAATATTCCTACATAGACTTTCCATGCCCATTTGTCTTTCCTCCTGCCACAGAGAATTCTTCTCAAACTCTGATAGAATAAGAAACAGACCAATCTTTAGTCTTATAAGGAAATTTTTATTCACAAATATACTTTTGACTCTTAAAGAACATGTAAGGGGTTTCTAAGATATAAGAGGCTGAGAACAAGATACTGAATTCAAATTTTGTGTATGCTTTCTCTGCTGGAGCATATTTTTCTTCCCCGTGGAGCTACCTGAATTCCTTATTAAATTAATTTGTAAAAGTGGCAGATGTGATGTTTTTTCACTTGTTATATGATTCGCTTTCTAGCATTCTCCTAGAGATTAAAAAAGGGAATGAAAATGAATGTGGCAAAAAAAAATAGATGACTTTCAAATACAGAAAAGTTCAGAGCATGGCTTTTCTCCCTTGTGGAAGAGGGAAGTGAAGACTCTATTGAATGTAGCTTTTATGAGTTATGTAATAAGATATCTTCTCTCTCTTTTTTTTTTTTATCAAACACTACAGGGAAAATGAATGGTTTAGCATTCCCTTGTAGGTCCCATCACCACAGACATTTTTCTAATTCTTGTCATTTTCACCCCTACTTCCTTTGTTTTTATTTTAATTTTAATTACTTATATATATTTATGAGAAACAGGGAAATATCTATATATACATACATGTATTATATATATATATATACACACAGTGAAATGATCATATCAAAGTAATTAACATGTCCATTATCTTATATACTTTTTAATAGTGAGAACATTTTTAAATATATTCTTTTAGAAACTAAGTTTGAAATATAGGTGCCAATTGCCTGATTCTTAAGCAATGTTCCATCAACTTTTCTTGGTACTGACCATCCAAGTTTGTCCACATTCTCTGTTGGTCTTTCCTTGATGTCCTCAGCATGTGTAAACTGGTGTATAGACTTGCTGCTTGTAATGCTACATGGAAACATCAACCTCATTACTTTCTTATGCCATTTTGTTGATGTAATAAACAAAACTATGAAGAGAAGAGTATGAATATAACTGTGCTCATCATTGCCACAGACAAGGGAGCCCGAGTTTGTCCCTAATACCTTTGCTATCAGCAGAATGTGGAACACTTTAGGGTATTCAGGGCATCAGGGGATGGATCCCTTATCCCAGAGCAAGTGGGACCTTTATGGAAACACAGAATAATGGGCCTTTCTTTCTTTGACTGGGACCTTTGGGAGGATAAGTCCCAAAGTTGCAATTAATGTCCTTCAAGGAGCTGTCCTAGAAGAATGGTTTGATGTTCACAGAATAAAACTCTTCACTGAAAGTCTTCAGTATGACATGACCTCCTACCGATATTATAGTGAATTTATCACCAGTCAGCATGGAAAAATATGCTGTGAGTTACATTAACAATGAAGGGAATGAGTTAAACCAAATCATCTGATCCACTGCTCTGCCCTCCACACCAAGTTCCCCATAAGACAAAGCTCAAATTTATAAGACAACCTGTTAGAAGGAGGGGATGTTTGGGGGTTATGAAACAGAAAATCTAGTGTACCTAAGTCTAGACTGCATGTATGTTCCTTATTAAAAAGATATTCTTTGAGAGGTGGCCTATATAATTAGTGCATTCTTGATTATCTTTTAAATTTTATTCCATGTTTATTCCTACAAAGCTTGAAAATAATTCAAATATCAAACCTTTTATATTTTATTTTAATTGACAAATAGTATTTATATATTTATGATGTGCCAAAGTGATGTTTTCATACATGCATATTGTATTGAATAAGTAAGTCATACAAATTAATACATTCATCAACTCACATAACATTTTTTATGGCAAGAAGTTTAAAACTCTCATTAGTATTTCAAATTAAATGTTACTATCATTAGCTGTAGTCGCTATTCAGTGCATTAGACCTCTTGAACTTATTCCTCCTGTCTAACTTAACTTTGTAACATTTGACAAACATTTCACCTTTTCCCATAACCTGAGGTCTGGTAACCACCATTGTACTCTCAACTACTGAGTTTGACTTTTTAATATTCCACATATGACAGATGGCCTGCAGAATCTGTCTTTTAGTGCCTGGCTCATTTCACTTAGAATAATGTCCTCCAGGTTTATCCATGCCATCGCCAATGACAGAATTTCCTTTCTTCTTTAAGACTGGATAGTATTCTGTATGTATGTGTCCTACATTTTCTTTATCCATCCATTGGTTGGTGGATACTGGCTCCTTCTACATGGAGGCTTCTGTGAACAATGCCACAATGAACATGGGAGTGCAGATATCTGAAGTGAATTCTTATATTTTGTATTGTGTTAGCATTATTTTCAATATAAGTTGTACTTTCTCATATTAGAAGCAGGGCTTAGTCCCCTTGATAGTTTCTAGTTCTCTTCCAGCTCTTCAGGATAGTCGATCCAGATGTCTGCCTTATACAGCTGCCTCTTGGGGAGCACTTCCCCATGGGACAACTAGATGCAGGCTACTTGACTTGTCCCTTTGACCCTTACATCAGCATGGACTGCACAGATATGTTCCAGTGAGCACCTCTCAGTCACAGCATGACTTCCTAGAACTTATGTCTGATTGCTCTCAATCTAATTTGAATGTCCTGAAAAAAATCTAGTTGGTTAATGCCCTGGAGCCCAATAAAGGCTTTGTTCCTCAGGTGTGCTTCCCTCTTTCTCTGTTTATATGTGTGTCTGCAGGTTTATTTCTTTATCTCTTTCTTTCCCCCCAATCACTGGTTCAGCACACTTGTCCTGAAGGGCTCTTACCCTTCCCATTGGCTCTTCAGGGCACATCACCCTTTTCTCTGTAGGATCTGTAATTAATAACATTTTGTACTCGTGGTTTAAAAAAAAATTGTGCAACCACCTCAGTATCTTACTTGACTGTCATACTGAAACCTAACTTCTTTTCTGGTCATGGCTCTTCTACAGAGTGACCATTTTGGTAGGAATGAGCTAACTATGTTTTTCCTTTTTTTTAGAAGCTTATTTAGTGAGGTAGGGATATTTTAGAATTTTGTTTTATTTTTGAATTACCACACATTAATAATAATAGGGGTTTTCATTGTGATAATTCCAGATCTGCATACAGCGTACCTTGAAAAAGTTCACCTCTCCATTATATTCCCATTCCTCTCTTGCCTCCTCACTCCTTTTTCAAACAGCACTTGGTGGATTTGCTATCCTCATATTTATACATTGTATTTTGATCCTCTGTATGCTTTTCCCTCCCCCACTCTTATCTTCCCAAGAGAGATAATTAACGCCCTACCAGCACCACCACCACCATAACCATTGTCATCCTCATCACCATCAATGACATCTTCATCATAATCATCATTTTAAGCCTAATTTCCACAAATGAGTGAAATCAGATGATATTTTTCTTTTTGAAGTTGGCTTATTTTGCTAAAAATGAAACTGATGATCTATTTCCATTCACTTTCTTGTAAATGACATAATTTCTTTTTACTTAATCTCTGAGTAATATTTCATAGCTGTATTTATCATCTATTATCTATTTATTATTTACCACCTAATCATACTATATAATATTATATACCATATGCTATATAATTTATTTATTTTATATATCATATCAATCATATCATATCATATATTCTTTATCCATTCACTGGTTGTGGGTACCTCAGTAGATTCTACAGTTTTGCTTTGTGAACAGAACTACAATAAATATGGTAATGTAGGTATCTCTCTTGTGTATTGATTTATAATTCTTAGTATATATGCCCAAGAGTGGTATGGCAGAGTTATAAGGTATGTCTGTTTTTAGTTTATTGAGGAATCTCCTTAGTGATTTCCATAGTGGTTTACATTCCCACCAATAGTGTATGAAGGTTCCTTTTCCCCCCACATCCTTGCCAGCATTTGTTACTTGTTTTTTTGATGATTGCTGTTCTGACCGGGGTGTGATAGAATTTAAGTATAGTTTTGATTTGCATTTCTTTTATCACTAAGGATGTGGAACATTTCTTCATTTATTTATTAGGCGTTTGTATTTCTTCTTCTGAGAAATCTCTGTTAAATTCGTTTGCCCATTTATGAATTGGATTATTTGTTCTTTTGCTCTTTAGTTCTTTGAGCTCTTTCTATATTCTGGAGTTTAATCCTTTATCCATTGAAAAAGTTGGTAAAGCGTTTCTCCCATTCTGTCGGTTCTGTATTGATTATGGTAATTGTATGTTTTGAAGTACAGA